GAAAAGGGAAAGAATTTGAAACAAGCTTGCTACACTACTAGAACACTTGGAACCGTTAAAATAACACATGATTTTTGAAAGCTTTTCAAGTTTTCAAGATGTCTACAGAATGAAAAAGCTTTTCTTGCTAAACGGAACTTGAGTTTTCTTGAGGATAGTATAATTATATGACGCAGATTACCTACTGTATTACTAAGAACCTTATGCCTTGTGTCTCCATTATACATTATGTAACCTCGGTTCTGTGTATAATAACGACGTCTTTACAATTCATCATTCACATTTTTTGAAAGTGATGTTTATGTAACATCGCAGGAGGTGGTAGGTTTGTGGTATGGGTATGGGCACTATAGCTTACAAACACGAAGGTGCCGGGTTCGATTGCGGGTCCGCCAGCAAAGACCATTTGGCGTTTTTCCTCCTCGAGATCGGCTCAGCCTCGTTGAACTTAAAAACGAGTATCTGGGGTGTACCCTGGGATAATAATATAAGCCGCTTTCGAGCGCGGTGCTTACATCTCTACTTCCCTGTAATTCATTCCAGTTACGTTCGGGCTAAATACCCACTTATCCCGTAAAACTTCGTCAGATGTTCTAACGTGGGGCTATTATACTACTATATTACTTTCGGAGATCCTATAAAAAAACGAAATTTTGCAAAACCGTTTTTATTCTTTACTGGCGTTATTTAAAAACATATTTCAAAATAAATGACACATTATTATATAGCCACTTTTTTCCCTCTACAAGATGTTAGTTTTAAATTTTAAGTCTGACGTTTCGTCTCCGCTTAACCATCATCAAATTTGTTTTTTCTTATGGAAGTCATTTTTACTTTTTGTGTTATTTGATAGAGCATTTTTTTTCTAATTTCAAAAATATAAACATCACTATTCTTCAAATATTGTTAAAATATCTTCTATTTTGCCTGGCAAACTTTGTCTTGAGTAGTGAATGTGCGTAGTTTCTTACGTTTATACGAATTAATAGCGCCATTTTTAATTAACAAGTAAAAAGGTATCGCCCTAAAGCGCATTTTCCATGAATTGATTAGTACTTCCCAAAAGGCCATAGCTATGCGCGCTGTGTTTTTCTTTGCTAGAGGCATGTATGGTTAAAATTTCAAAGAAATATCTTCATAAATAAGGAAGTTGGCACTGACTGCGCATGCAAACATCTAATTTTTGCACTATCAGATATCTTTGACTTTCACAGATGCATTTGTGATTAAATATTTAAAATTTCAAAAAGATATCTATATAAATAACAGTTCATATTGCGCAACTTGCGCTTGCGCACATTAATGCGAGGTTTACAATATGCGATACGCTTGCTTACACTAAAAGCATCTTTTGTTAAAATTTCAAAGAAATATCTCCATAAATGAGGAAGTTGCCATTGCGCAGTCTGCGCATGCGCATATCTGATTTTTACTAAATGCGATGTGTTTGCCTTCACTAGAAGTGAATAAATAAGAAAGTTGAAATTGCGCAGCCTGCGTATGCGCAGTTTAATTGTCAAGATTTTCCTTAGCTCAGGTGCCAGAGCTTTATGCTACCGAATGCAAAAAGAACGAACTTAATATCTTGAAAACTATAGGAGTAGTTAAGGCCTCGGACAGACAGACGGACTGAGAAAGTGGCTAGAATAGCGCACTTCGTTGGAAAATGCACTAAAAAGTACCTACATGCTGTATTGAGTAGCATTTTTTATTACGAATACAATGTTGTACAGCACACAAAAAGACACAAACAAAAGTTGGAAACTGTTGGTTTCAACAGAATGGTGCACCCATGCACAATTAACGCCCTAATCGTGTGTTAATACCTATCGGAGAAATTGTCCATTTGTCCAAGGTGTTCCATTATTCTATTAATTTTGTTGTATCTGTTCAAATAACATAGGAAAAAATAAAAACGAAATCGGCAAATTTCGGTTTTTCTGGCATGTCTTCGGAAGTAAACGGAATATTTTGGATTTCTTTGCAGCATATCATACTTTTTAATTGTGCACCTTTTCCTTACTTTGACCATCTTTGTATCTTCTACCTCATCGGTTTTGAGATTCCCATAATAGACACGTCCTTGTCCTGGGCACAGTGTATAATGTATATTGCTGTGTTATCACGCATAATTTATTTTACGTTTATCAGAAATACTGATTACGCAATGATTAGTTAATCTGACAGTAGAGGAAATTAGAGTAGACAAGACACCTAGGTGTCAAGTGTTTGCTAGTGGTGTGGAGAAGGGAGCGGTTTTGAACAATCTTAAACTTAAATTGAATTATGGCGTAATTAAATCCGCCCTTTTCTAATATGCGATTAATTATGACGTAATGATAATTACGTGTCTGCAAACGGAGAAAATTTGCAACCACAAAATTAATTATGCCGTCATTAATTGAAAATCAATTATGACGTAATTAATTTCGCGGTTACCAACGGAATATTAAGGCCCGGTTGTAGGTACAATGTCAGGTTAAACTTCAGTTTGGTTTAACCGACAGATTTGAGAAATACGATTGGTCAACTTGTGAAATATTAGCCAATCAAGTCCTTTAACCCACAATTCAACTATAAACTGAAGTTTAAACTGACATTATTCAACCGGGCCTTAGTGATTGATCTTTAGTGATCGGAAAAAAATAAGTATATGTCCCTTGTGTGCCGTCGTATAAAATGATGTTAATTTTATTTGTTTATATTTATACTTGCTTTCAAAGCATTTCAAATAAACCGATATAACGAAATCTCTAAGGATCCTCCAGTATTACCATCACTTTTAACCACATTTTATGTTAATCTTACAAAATACATTGTATCGTTAACAAAAATGCATCAAATTCATGTCTTGGGCATTGAGATAATGCTCTTAATTTTGTTCCCAATGATCTTGATGCATGAATAGCCATTTTCACATGTTTTGATCAAAATCCATGTCGTCGCTAAACATGCTCTTGGTCTTTTTCCCAACGATCTCAGTGTAAGAATAACGGTTTTGACAAGTGTTGATCAAAATCCACGTGGTCGTCAAAAATGCATCAAATTCATGTCATACGCATTGAGATAATGCCCCTAGTCTTTTTCCCAACGATCTTGGTGCATAAATAACGATGTTGACATATTTTGATCAAAATCCATGGGGCCTCATAACAATAATTTAACATTTTTAAATCACACGCATGCGCTTATCAAATGTGCAAGATAATGCGTTTGAAAGCTTTTACAACTCTAAATTCATGTGTAATGAATAATTTTTGGTACATTTTATGCTCTAAAACTTTTCACCTAGACCACAGAGAACAGTTATATTGAATTGTTACACATCTACCAACTAGCATTTTCATATTTTATAATAGTTGCCAAAACGCTTCCGATACAAAAATTATAAAACAACATATCTCTCAGAAACGTTTTCAAAATGTTTATACGACAGCTATAAATGTAAAATTGGCACCACTTTATAAAACATTTCAATTTTGGTTAGTAATTTTGTAAAAGCTTTTGGAACCATTATAAAATCATTTTATAAACAATTCGGCAAATCGTATAAAAAAGGATTATACAACAGTTTTGTTAAAGCTTTCTATAAAACAACCATAATGTTATAATAGCGTCACAGCAACATTTATAAAATAAAGTTGCCTACTGGAGTAACAATAATAAAATAAAAATGTTTTTTAAGGATATTATGAATGCTTTAATAAGCAATTTTGATTTGGACCAACGGAAATTGTACGACCCGCGTAGTAGCGAAATTTTATTGAGAAATATGTACCATACATCTATCAAAATTTAAGCACGCCTCGTACTTTTCAGTGTTTTGGGAAACATTTTAAAATAGCGAAAAAGCTATCTTCCTCGATATAATAATTTTCTACAGAAAAAGTTGAACCTATTGCTTGTAGAGATAACTATTGATATTTTTTACGTATTTTACCTACTGCAAATGTATGTGTTCTTGGAGGAATAATATTCGGAATATTATAAACTTCCCCGAATCGAAGCTTAATGCGCTAGTTACGTTCTTTGTAGCTTAAATGACTATTATAAGATCGGCCGTATAAGTTACTTTCAATCATTGTAGTAGTGTCCGTATTGAATTCGTCAGTGGGTTGGTAGAAATGGATAACATGATGTTGGAAGTGTATCAGGTCATAATTAAGGAAGATAGCCTGGAAGGTAGTCACCTTTCCTACCCATTGATCGTCTCGTTACGATCTGCAAGACGGGAGTTGATCAACTATATACCCCCGAACCCACAGGGGATATTTTGTTTTTCCTTATAATTATCTGCCATTAAAAAATAGTATCATAAATCAAAATAGACATGTTTTGGTTATAAAGGATACGACTAAAAATATAGGCAAAAAATTGATCACTATTAGGTACAAATTTGCACTGATAATAAATCATTAATAAAGGCGCACTAAGGCAATTAAGGTTTCTTATATACAGTATACTATGTTTTATTCTATCCGCGTGAAGCTCCAGTTATTTAAATGTTGGAAGCTCTCATTTATTCTACATTTGTTTGTACTTGAGTACAAATTGTATCACACCACGTAAAAGTTGGCGCATTAACAAGCATCCTTGTGATAGGTAGGTACCTACTCTAATTGATTGTGTGGTACCTAAAACCACTTTCAATAGAATCATTATTAAACAAGAAGATCCACTAAAACTCTCGATAATTACGTATTCTATTACCTGCACATACCTACGCAAAATAATTACCTACACTGGAAGGCATGTCACGTGGTTAACGCACCTAATTCCCGAATGCATTTCTCATGAAACTGAAAGGCTAACGCTACTGGTAACAACTAATAAGACCGTTTCCATCACATAATTGTAAATGCCGACATAACGAATCATTAATAAGTTAAGCTGCGGCAGAAAAAGGTTAGTCACATATACATGCAGAATACAATGCTTTCCCAATGTTAGCGTGAATTCAGGAAAGCTACTTAACTAAATGATTGTCAAGCGGGGGGCTTTCCACCGGTAGGTATAAAGTAAGGAGGCCGCCTGCAGACCTCCAGTTATAGGTATTCTTAGTGTACAAAATGAAGAGCATAGCGTGTTTTTTAGTGCTAAGTGCACTTATATTTACTGGTATGTACAGTGCCTTCTTCACCTACTAGAATGGATTAGATATAATAATTAAACTAAATTAGTTAAACGTGCGAAAAAGTCTTCATTTCCGTATGTGATAGTGATCCAATTAACGTGGTATTCTCTGTGGTGGTATACTTACCAGTGCATTTCATCTTGTTAGTGTTTCCTATATAATTAATCTTGCTACTCGAGCATTGATACGTGTACCATTTATTATAAGTAGAGAAATCGTTTCCCAATTAAAGTAAAATGAGAGTGGCCTTTTGAGCGAAATATTCAAAATTTTTCCTAGGCACACTCAATAGCTTTGCATTTTTTGTTCAATTTAAGACGTGTTTCTTCCATAAAATAATTTATAATGTCTACATACTTAAAGTGCATTTAGTAGAGAATGTGGAAATTTCATTGTGCTAATGGCTTGTGCCAACAGCATTCCTTAATTTTTAAACTGACTCTCATCGTCCTTGTAGAGTGCAGTTTATACTTCCTGAATTATGTACTGAAATTCATATTGTTACAAATGATCACAACATACGTTAATGTGCAATTTTTAATGTACCCAGACAACGTGGGTTTACGTTTATATTTTAACCAAATGGAGAACAAGCCCATTGTTTCAATATATGTCAAGTATACTCCATCGTTCATTCTGGTACTTGTATGTGCATTCATTACAATTAAACGAGGGTTATAACGTTTATTTGGTAAATGCACAATTTTCTCTTTCGCAGATCAAAGGAAAGCAACAATTTTTATCGGTAATTGAGTACAACTTTTTATTTGCTTTCATTATCGACTTTTTTGTTCTCTTAAACTTAATTGATAAACCTTATTTCCTGTATTTTAAACTCTCAAATCTTCCATTTTTAAGCGATTACCAAATTTATTACCACAATAATCGAACAAAATCGGATTTTTGCGATTATTTGGTGAACTCGATCGACAACAGATATGTTGATTGTTTATATGGGGGAAACTAATGCAAATGCATTTTTGACAATTTGTATAAGGGTAATTAAATGAACTCGATAACTTTAACATATTTTCACCTCTACACCGTTTATGTTTTTACTTTGGTTTTTTAAATGATGAAATTTGATATATCACACCAATTTAAGTTTTTTTTTGCAAATACGCCCCATCCTATTGCAACCAGGACAGATCTTTTATGATTTGGCTACAACCTAAAATTATGTTCAACGAAATTGAAATTAATGCAGGGTGATTTATATCAAAGTTGCATTTTTTAATAGAACCCCCTGCATATTATTGCATATTTCGATTCTTTTGTCATTTTTTTCAAAAAGTACCTATAGATGTGCAGTAAAAATTGAATATCGCGGATGTAATAAAACTGTAGAAGGCCGTGACTCTGCAGTGTGACTAATCACTATATTAACCGCCTAAAGTTAAACGCTTTTTGTGTTAAACAAATCACTCCGTCAATTTTAAAAATTTTAACCAATGGTAACTTGAATTTTGTAATTGGAACCTCGATTGGAACTAGTTTTTTTTAATCAAATGTGGCAACGATCGCTAACGATATTTCGTCGCAAATATTTTAGGCCCTCAACATTCCGCCTTGACATTGAATAAATACCTTCAATCTTCTACCACGCAGTAATGGCCCACCCTGTATGTAAGATCAAGAGTTTTTGTAGGATGTGGAATGAATCGAAAATTTAACAGTGCTATAAAGAAACAAATGTTGTTATATTAACAAAACAGACGTGAATTTAACATTTTAACGTTTCAATAAATTCTATAAAACTCATTTTATTATGCACATTGGAATTACGTAAGCTATCATACTTCAAATTTTAAATGAATTTAGAATAAATTTTGGAAACGGAATAACGGAATACATCTCATTTAATTAACAAAGTATCAGAAAATGAATTTGTTTCCTGTAAAACCGGAAGTCACGTAAAATTATCTAAAAATTCAACAATCCTTACCGAAAGCTATTACGGTTCATTTCCAATATCGCAATTATCGACTCATTTAAATTGAAAGACTACATGTGTAATTATTTATAAAATACGTCTTCTACTTAGGTACGTACCTCGATACGTACCTACACTTGTAGTAAAATATCAATTGAGTAACAAGTCTCTAAACTCTAAAGTTCAATTACTCAATTTTAGTGTTTTAGAGAGCCACAAACATTTAGCAGTGTATGTGTACCACCACAACTTTGCCTTTACAAGAAAATAAAACTTGAATAATGTTTATTACTCTCACATTTACCTAACACTTCTCAGTTTTGTTTAATAATTAGCACTAAGGGCTGGTCTTTCTGATCTTAGTTATCAGAGAATTAATTTCTATAGAAATATAAAATGTATTAGCATTTGAAGTTATCTAAAAGATAATTTTAACATAATCTTTAAAAACCTGTCCTAAACGTAATAATATTAAACCAGAAGATGACAACATAATTATTTCGGAAATGTTGGTACTGTATTTATCAATGGTACTATAAATTTTTTTTCATTTATTTCTTTTCTGCTGAGTAGGTATTGTATCCATTTAGGAACCATATAGCGAGGTCTTAACTACGGCCCTTCTTCGATTGTTTATTGATGCTTCTTACTTATATAGGAGAGAAAAACTACTACTTTGCTTCGTAAGAAAGATCCTTTTCATTATGGTAAAAAGCATTTTATACTATTCAATTTCAATCCATGTCTTTCCGCCCACAAATTAGGGCCCAAAGTAGTATCGTCCTCCTATTCCTAACCAGCACACTTGTTTACCTCCTAAAGGTTCTTATTTTGGTAATAACCTAAAACTTTCATTCAATTTTATTAAACTTAGTTAGCCGGTCTTTCATTTTACATTTTTACCGTTTTACATTAACCGTTTGCTTCACTACATTTCATTAAATTTAACTTTGACACTCGTGCGTATTTCTTTTCAGCTACAATAGTTATTGCTGTTCCTACAGGAATTAAAATTTTTAGATGCCTGGACTTCGGAAACCTATTTGTCGGGCATATTTCACAAAAAGTCGATTACCACATGGATTAAAAGGTTGAATATCAATTCATGTAATCGCTCAATTGGTCCGCGAAAGTAATACCAGCAGCAGGTCTTCTTCTGTTCCTCAAATCAGTTCTACTCTTCTCAGAATTCAATTTTTCTAGTTAGGTATATTGTTAGATACCGGCCATGGATGTAACCAGGGATGCAATTCTCGATTCTTTAAGTACATCCTTCATTTTGATTTGATATAAACTTGCAAACGCGTTAGTGTGCCTTCTTTGATTTTAGTTCATCCACCGTCCAAAACGTAAAATGCTGTGCAATTTATTCATATTTTTTTGTAAAAACAAAAAAAGGTAATAAAATCGTCTACATGACTCTTGCAGGAAAGTATAGGTACCTCTCTCATAGCTTCTCATACAAATTACATAGGTACTATTCAATTGCTACATTTAATGGTGCAATTCGACTTCGAATAAATTCTTTTGAATGGCACCACTTAAAGATAGTATTGGACCATTTCACTAAGAAGGCCTTTCGATTTTTGTGGCCATCCCGTCTCTAATATAAAAAATACACTTTGTTACAACATTATACCTAGTGTTATAACCATTAGGAATACCTAGAATTAGGTACAATTACACAATAACTCATCTTACCGACATAAGTATATCATGTTCGTGTACCCTCATTTCATGTTGCTGGTAAATTATGCAGCTTTTTTAGCATGTATTATCACGCCTACTTAGAGTAATTGTTCTACATTAATTTTCAATTCATATTGTGTAGTAGGTACCAATACACATATAATATTTCCTACTTATCTAACTGTGCGTGGAGACAACATTCAATACTGTGAAAGTAAGTGACGTAATCAAATCAAATAACAGAAATAAGAGACTCGTTTATAGTTATTATTTACTCTGCAATCAATTTACGGTGGTTACATTTTCTCATTATGTATTTATAAAATCAAATTTGGTTTCGCGTTCTGTGGAAGATTACCACAACCGCGTGTACAAATTTACATAACACATATTTTCGCTTCAAAAATACTCACATTCGATGGCCTTAATTATGCAATGTGGCATTTTGCGTTAAAAATTACCACCCACTTTTATTGCATATATTTGAAAGTGGTGTCGTACTGGTCGTGTATTGCAAATTACCTTTCAATAAAATGAATCTTCATATGCATTTTAAAGTTTATGACGGTTGCGATTTACAAAACCTCCTTGCTCTCAATTTACGTTTACGGAATGCCAGACACTTTCACAATTTCAAAGAAAAAAAAAGGTTTTTGTTCGCACTCGTATTGACAGAGAAATTTTTAGGATCGAATCGATTTAAATTATTCTCAAGGTTTTAAGACGTTTTTCATGGACATTTCTGTATCTACGCTAAGTATAGATGGTAACCTTCTGGTAATTGGTAGAAAGTACTAGACCACACTTAAAAAAATGGGAATTTGAAAAAGTACAACCTTGAAATATAAATAATATTGACCTTAACATTACACACCACGTCGTATGTGGTTACACCTATACCTAATTTGAATAAATTTTTAATTCAAAACCTGCAGTTTTGTGTTCAATAAGCACATAATGACAAATGTCTTAGGTGCCTACATTCAAAATCATTTATTTCAACAGCTCCAGCCTTTTTACAATAGGAGCATTAAACTGCTTGAAACTTTAAGTAGAGGTCAAGTAGTTATTTATAAGTTTTAAGAATAGGTAGATGAACTGTTCATCTTCCCAACAGTGCATATGTCTACCTGCCAAAAGTCGCACAAACGATTAAATAACCCATTCCCTACCTAATTAAAAAAAAAATGGAAAGTGGAATCTGCTGGTGGTAACTGCAGAGAAACGGTAATATGAACCTGATTGCGCCACGAAAACCGAACTCATATCTGTTGGGAAGCAAGTTTTTTTCTTGCCAAGTTAAAACTAAAAGTGAATTTGAAAAGTGTCCCACATCGCGGTCTTTCACCTACTGAACATGCAAATACTTACCACACCCAGCATTTCTTGTGTTTTAATTTATTTACATACTTTAAAGCTTTTTTCTTTACATTTACGAAGAGACGAACAATTTGAAAGAAAAAAATTAATTGACATATAAAATAACAGTATAACAGCACTCCGCAAGGTTTACCAAGTACGTTAATTTATGATTATTGGCACAATATATTTTTTGTGCCTCGGTATAGGAGTGGTCAATGCCTTTTTCGTAATGTCACGTAAGACAAAGATTAATTTATTTATTTTTCAGTATTTGCACAAGAAAACTTCAAATGTCCCGATGACTACGGGTTCTATCCACACCACAAATCCTGTGATAAATATTGGAAATGCGACAATAATGCAGCTGAATTAAAAACGTGCGGAAATGGATTGGCATTTGATACATCCGATCCTAAATATTTAACTGAAAATTGTGACTACCTCCACAACGTTGACTGCGGCGATCGAACAGAAATTGGTACGTTCGCCTATCCCACAATGGGCGAAAGGAGTAATTAAAATTTTAGAGCCTGCTATCTCGACACCTCACTGTGTTCGTCTTTATGGTATATTTTCGGATGAGAATAAATGCGATGTCTTTTGGAGCTGTTGGAATGGTGAAGCTTCACGTTACCAATGTCCACCTGGTCTAGCGTATGATCGTGAAGATCGCGTTTGCAAATGGTCCGATCAAGTAGGAGATTGCAAACAACACGGTATGCTCAACTTGGACCCACGTAACCCATTTACAGTGGTAAATTTTAGAGGTTGGAGGAGGATTCGCCTGCCCGGCTCCGGGTGAAATCACAAATTCGGGCACATTCTCTCGTCATGCGCACCCCGACGATTGTAGGAAGTACTATATCTGTTTAGAAGGTGTACCGCGCGAGTACGGATGTCCAATTGGCACAGTTTTCAAAATTGGAGACGCCGACGGTACTGGAAACTGTGAAGATCCGGAGGAAGTTCAAGGATGGTAAGTGACCATTTTCTTTAATCACGTACTGACGCTGCATGCCTTGCACGCTTCTATCCAACCGTAACTTAGTCTTTTCGTTGACTACCACCCATTTACCAATTCCTCTCAAATTTTAAATCAAAATTCAAACCAACATATACGTGGATTTCACAGCGAGGACTACTACGGAGATTTGGACCTTAAAAGTATCCGCAAAAGTGAGTTACTAGCAGGTACAGGAATCGCTAGTGCGCCAAGACCACATGCGCCACCGTCATCATCTAGACCGAATAAGCCAAGACCAGCACAACCATCATCGCGTAATGCTCCCGAACCCGCTGATAATTAAATTCTAAATTTTTATCCTACCTAAAGAGTTGAACTCACAAAGAGAGTCATCGGAACGACTCAGATGCACTGTATTTAATTTTTAGTAACTATTATTTTAGTTTATTAAGAAATCTGCTTGGCCGATTGACTCTCTTTTCCTATTCCAATAATTTAATTAGATCAAAAAATGTTTGCAATTTTAAAGACCATGTGAATATAAAAAAATTGCCTTGCTAAACGGTACAAAATACTTTGTATATTTAATAAAACATTATTTTTTATCTCTATTCTTTCTACTTCCCCTTCTCATAGAGAATGACCCATAATTTTTCCTCACTTCACACATTCTGTGTTATACTGTACAGATTATCTAATTTGGGAAAAGTGGTAAAAGTAACTTGTGCACAAATATTTAATATACATAGGTACTTCTCTTCATCTTGAACATATATGTCTGAAATCATTTTAAAAAAATGGCAAGTAACAAACCACTAATATTTCGATGTGAATAATTTCTAAATATGGGCTGGTAAGTTAAATGCACATATTTATTGTAATTATACCAATACTTGGGATAGTTAATTCTTTGACTAAAAATACTAAACACCATTATGCAAATTATAACATTTACATTATTTTGTGACAATGGCACTAATCGTGTATAACTATTTCACTATAGTGAAGATTACTACAAAGATGTAGACCTCCGGGCACTAAAAAAGTTGGGGTACTAAGCATTAGGGACCTACCTCTGAAGAAGTGAAATGTACAGAACGCGTCGCCATCACCACCAAATATTTTGATAACTTCGTCACTTTATTTATTAAACTCCGATATGTAAATATTGCTAATATTATAGTGAAATTAAATGTAAGTTATTTGTTGATTACCTTTGAGAATGTTATTGTTATCGATCATATTCATAAACTGTGTATTGTACAGTAATAAAAAATATAGATACATACTATGCAGATTGATTAATTGTTAGGTTCATTTACTTTTTCACTTTTCTTAAAAACTAATATAGAGCAAATCTCCTGAAGGAATCCTAATAACAATTAAAAAAGAAACCCAAACGTGCCTTCCTCGCAGATAGAGACCACTTTTTGATCATAAAACTACATGGGCTGTGAGAATAATGCAGTTTCCATCCAGAACTCGCACAGTAGAAGTACTGCTAATAATAATCAATAGATCCGGATTTTTAAAGAAAGCTCACCTCTGTAGTACCTACATTTTCTCTCGCAATAATTTGAATTTTGAACTTTTATTCGTAGATCTTACAGTCCACTTCAAGTTTGCTACCATAACGAATATGATGATTTTTTTCATCTTATGCTTGAATTTCCTGCATAAAATTTCAACCAAGTAATTTTACAACATTGAGCCTACCAAATAACAATTACAGAACCTGATCAAACTTCGCTAATTATAAGCTTATAGCACTAGAAAAGGAATTGTTAATTTTATAAAAATCTGTTGTTATTATTCTTATAGGTACATAAAATTGGAGACAGAAAGAATCTTAATCAGTACAGGCTAATTGCTCTCGTATCGGCATTCTCTAAATAGACATTTGAAACAAGCATAAATTATGCACAAAATATCTTGTGCATTTTTTAAACCGAAATAGCTTAGTAAATAGTTGGGTTATAAAGGCATGCTATATTTATGTGTCTCGTCTAGACGTCTCACTTGCCCTTTGTGAGTACTTTCTTCCGACACTTCGCTTTCAAGATATTCGCTTCGACTTTACCAGTAGATATGTCACGTCCAGAACAGTTTGTACAAACTAATTCATTTAGATGAGACTTTCCATTAGAATGCCACAAAGGGTAGAACGTGTGTTCATCCATTTGAAAAGAAACTAAACTTTGGCATATGATGATTGAACTAAAATATTTTCAAGATGGCGCCACTTCTGCAACTGCCGGAAGTAGCCATCAACAATATTTTAAATAGGGATTCTCTATTTTTTCAACATTTTAGGATTCTATACGTATTTGGAGTACAACGATACCCCATAGTTGACCCTTTGCTCCAAGGGTTTCGTCGATATTCAAGTTTTTATGTCAAAAATTAAATTTGCAGGGGTAATTTTAAAAATTTATTATTCGAAAACGGTAAGAGATATTGCAAAACAGTTTTCACGACTGTATATTAAGGAAAGATCGAATTTTTTATGGTACCTATGCGTAACCGTCTAAAAAAGTGAGACTATGTTACTTTTTAAAGGCTCTAAACTTTTAAATTATGCGTAAAGCAAATACAAGCACAGTGCAGTGTATAGGAAGAGCGTAAGAAAGTAGCGCGGGGCTAAATCGACAAAGCCCAAAACTTAATCACTTCTCCCCCAAGTCATGGATACCTGGTGTATTAAATTTGATCTTGAGGTATACATCCAAGCGTTTGTGAGTTAACGACCAGAGAAGACTTTTTGACGGTATTAATGAAGTAGCTGCTAGCAATACCAGCGATTAAATCCGGCGGAATAAACGTGAAAGGAAGTCACAAAGGAAATCCGAAGCAGACGTGAAGAGAAAAAAAACTAAAATAAAGGCAATACGATCAAAAAGTGATACAGGGGTTTTTGGGGTTCTTTCGAGAGTAGAAAACACTTTAATCAATACACGTGAGTTTATTGTTAAAAGTAGATAATGACCAAAATGAAACGGATTCAATCAACGTTTTTGTGTTACTATAGAAAAACAACTCATTACTTGTTCCATCACTATCTACCTATTTTTACAATTTTATAAACTAAATCAATGCGAAAGTAGGAATTTTCAAATATCTAACAAGGGTTAAGTGCTAGAACAGCATTGAATATTCTTTCAAACTCAACATCGCCCATTTACTTGATGTAAATAAAATCTATAAGTCTTGAAGAGAGACGTGATCAGTGAAATAGCCGGATACATAAGAAGACCATGAAAAAATGAACAGAAGTGAAATGAAGGAGACATTATCAACACAGTGTAGGAGAATGAGACTCGGAAAAAAATTGGGATTAGGGATTTAAAAAAGGCGTTGAGGAACCATGAAGTAGGTGTAAAGGTGAATAAAATGCAGGTTGAGGCAGGAGACAATGTAGTCAATGTGGACATCAATGCGTGAGAGTCATGAAAATAGACGTGAAGGCCGTGTGGAAGCGTTAAGGCAAAGATCAGGTGTAGTATGATCTTTGGTTAAGGAAAGAGCTGTGAAAGGAATGTTAACAAAACAAGGTCTGGCATCTCATGGAGCCTGAGCGAACTAGGAAGAAGTGGTTTAGTGGGTGCACGCACCACAATAGCACCGATGCATGAAGGATATAGGCATTAAAAGAGTATAGTGGCATGAAGTAATCGACTCTTGACGGAGGCAAGAAAGGAGAGACTGCAAAAAACTTGAATGTGAATTATGATGTATGCGCTATAAAAAAGTTGGCGTGAAGAATTAGAAGCATGGAGGAAGAAGGCACTTCATAAAGGTAAGGCACTAAGGCAGGTGGAAACATCAGAACATTATGCAAAGAATGAACAGGACTCCGACGTGTAGGTACAATCAATAAGGGATCACAATGGACATGAAGTGAAGTGGAAGGTACTAAGAACAGAAAATCTGATGGAGTTAAGACGTAATTAAAAAATATATAAATTATAAAGGACGTGTATATCGAATGACAATTAATATGTAAGGTCATTGAGAGAATATTATTTTAGAGCAGGTGGACAAGGCGTGAAGGAGCCATGAAGAAGTTGCAAAGGATGTCATTTGATTTGGGACAAAGGAAGTGTAAAGGACGCGAGTGAATACAAAACTGATTTGGTTTATGCTGAAAAATTGTATTCCTTATGTTTAAATATTTATTCATTATATTGTGATCAGGTATATTTACAATTGAATCAAATATACACAATATCATAATTATGGCAACTTAATTATTACACACAGCCCAGCAAGGTTTATCCAATAATTAATTTTTTTGTTTATGATACGTACAATATAAGAATTGAAAGTACAACCCTGCTTGACATGCACTCTGGACAAAATTAAAATGCACTTCAAAAACAACAATTCTGTTATCATATTTTTTAAAATTTAGATACGAAAAACTGCATCAATAATCAATGGAAATGTCGGCGGATACAATATAAAGTAAATCACAAAAAAAATGTAAATTACAACCTCCTGCTTTAGCATCATACGTCAAAAAACAACTATTAAAACAGTCAATTATCTAAAATAAGTTATAATAAATTAATAAAATAGCCTTCTAGGTTGAAGACTGTCTTTGTTACTATTTAAATTTATGGAATATAAGGCACAATAGACAGCATGCACAGAAATGAAAAAATAAATTTTATACATCGCTAAGGTGACAAAGTGGTTGAATGTGCAAATTGTGCATTTTAGTAAATAGTAACAGATTTATCTTTCAACCTTTTTATTAATGTAACATTTTGTTTTGTTAGGTGGGTCAATTACAAATTTTAGTTTATGAAAAATTTATCAAATAATAAAGTCCAATAGAATATAATGCTTCATGCAACGCTTGTGAAACCACCAAATAAACAAAATGCAACGGAGGCATTAAAGTACAGGGAACTTGTGGATACTGAGAATATAGACATAGATAAAAACATATAAGACCCGTATTATTCCACTTTGTAGTAAATACATGCTTGAGTAAATTGGGATAAATAGATTTCACTGCGAATGATGAAAAATCTACAAGATAATGTTATTTGTTCCCCATCTCTAATACATTTTTCATCATAAAATATAAAATACTTTGCTAACCCAATAAATAACAAATGCAGTTTCTTTAACATAAAATTTAAAAAGGGATTAAAACAAAATATAAAAGTATGACTAAGCTCAATTTGGCCTTCAATTTTAATATTACCACAAAGCTGCTTTTGCTGCGTTTAAAACTAGCACGGACAATCTATTCAAGAATAGCACATAAATGCTCGTATATATCGATTGAAATTCGCTCAGCAAATGCCGAAAAAATTGAATAAAATAATTTACACGCTTAATACACGGTCTAAGACCAACTATCAACATCCTGACGGAATTCAGACTAGTAACGAAATCAGTACTACGCAAGACGCAGTCGAACACAATTGCAAAACTTTAAACGACTCTCCCAATCATGGTAAAGTAAGTCATAAAAAGCAGTCTCACCAAGTTTATAAATATCTCTATATACCGAATATGTACATGTTGCCACTACAAATTGAATGCAATGCTGACTGTACTAAGTTAATAAATAATAGCTAGGTGTGAAGTTCAGAATTGCAAACAATATCTTGCAGAGAAAGAAATTTAAATTTTGTTCTAATACGCTCTATGCTTTTCGCATTGTAGGATTCTAAAAAATTAGTGTTGAGATACCATTGGCTAATTGTATCAAAAGCAAGGTACACAAACAATAGAAGATATTAGACATTAGTACATATAAGGAACTATAAGTAATAAATTCGGTTTGCGTTTATTATCAAGCAGACAACATGCTCCACCTGTTCAACTGAAGTTATATAACATGCAGTATATAAACACAAACGCTTTCCTTTCTTAATCCGCAAGGGTGACCGTTAAATAGGCTAAGTACTTATTCTAAGTTTAACAAAAACACAACTGTTATGATGAAACATCATTGCTTTGATACAGACGTCTTTGGGGCTCAGGAGTATAGTGAAAACGCGCTCGTAAATGTTGCGGCGAGCCCGGTACTGAGGAACTTTCTGATAATCTCCTCGGTGGTGGAATCGGAGGAGATGGAGAAATGTACCTTAATTTAATTGTGAGTACAAAACAAAGTGCGAATTTTTGTAATTACCTGCGAGAGAGACTGGGAGAGGCCACAGAATTACCATGTCTAGCACTTAGGGGACTTTGACTTTCAGCACTAACCCCTCGATTATAACGAGGTGGGGGTTCTGGACTTTGATGTCTTGACGAGCGTCCACTTCGATCTCCGCTTAGTTGCAATTTCATATATGATGCAAATCTTGGTTTGCCTAAAATTGGAGAACCGTAAACGTGATTTTTACTAACGGTACTTATTATTATTATTATTATTATCCCTCTCTTGTTTTGGGCCCTCAACAGGCATGCGCCCAATTACAGAGTGACCCGCATAATGCTATTGTTGGAAATCATTTGTTGAAGGCTTAAGGTTCGTTTCAGACTAGGGCGTCAGGATACAAATTAAACCTGAGAGCAAAATGGAACAAGAAAATAACAACCTAAATCTAAAACTTCAAAGTCAAAAATCAGGCCAAACGATGGAGAATAAACTCCAAATGGTAGTGACAAGCATGAAGATGCATTGTCCTTTTAACTGCGCCCTCTTTAGGGTTTAAATGAATGTCATTCCAAAACGCGATGGAATTAAAAAAAAAGTCACCAACACTAGAAAATGGGTAGCATCCTAAAAACCCAAAATGCATACAGCAACATTATAGCGACTATAAACAAAGTGGCCAGAAAAGATGGGAAAGCCACTTTATAACTTAAGTCGCTTTACAAACATGCTTAATGGGCCTTTTTTAATATATTATGACAAGTAGATGATATTACAAAGCGTTACGCCTTGCGTTGTCCCACGACTCCAAGAAATCTGTTGAACAAATTGGTAACTAATTGATACAGAATGGAAAATGAAGACAATACCCCCACGATACACTCACACCGGTATGCTAGATCGAGAGACGAAAACTGACGTCAGCTGGGTCACATTTCTGGCGCGAACGTGTATTCTAACTAGGGAAAATACAAGAATTTTAATGTTCGTGGGGGTTTAAATAGATGGTAGTCAATTTAACTAATGCATAATTTAAAAATTTAACACAAACACAATACTTATCTTTGATTAACCATAAGTAAAGATTTTACGAAAAGGTATTAAGTATAATTATACGCAAAAGCAAATGTTGAAACGATTTCATTTAAACGTATATTGTTTACTAAATCTTTTTCTATGGACATGGTATAATTATATCCTTTGTTAGTTGTTGTTGTTGTTGTGTCATTTACCATCGAAAATAATTTACGTAATTCTCATTGAAGAGTTGCCCTTTATTATTATTAAAGTCTCCAGCACAAATGCTTCTATTTATAGTATTATGATTAGCAAATGCCAGTATTCCAATATCTGCATACGTATATCCTCACGTATTTCACTACATAATATCCAACAATACCTAAATTGTAGAAAACTCTGTTATTTCCTAGAAACTAAATCATAAAACGTAATTCCCGCAATCTCAAATGTACAGCTCTGAAGATTTGCTACTCGACGTCACAGATGCGCACTGGCATACCGGTGTAAGTGTATCGTGATCACACCTAACACTTTATTACACCCACAATATTTTCAAACTACCAAAATGTACACTAATGCCTAATGGAGATGCTGGTGCATTCTTACACCTCCATCAGTTTCATTATAAATTTAAAATGGGCAATGCCATCTTTAATTAAAACAAGTTGATTGCTTTATTATAACGTCCAAAATCACTAATAAGCTTGAAAAAAAAAAGCATACCTAGGTCGTCCTTTGCAGCTTCCTCCGCCTCTTGCGCCTTCTGCTGTTGTTTTTGTTGGTGATAAAATCTTTGTAACACTATAGGACTCGTATTGCCGTATATATGTTCTTGACTACCTTGAATTTGGTTTCGTAGGGGCAATGGTGACCCGCCCGGAGACTGCTTTCTGCATTCGCCTCCCACTTTACGAATTTGAAGGGGCGAAGCACAATCCGAAACGTCACCGTCGATATATCGTTGTGATGCAATTGGTAAATTATTTGTTACGGAATTATACTGAGGACTACTTTGAAAGGTTCTAAACGGCGAAAATCCTCTAACATTGGTTGATGGTACTGAAATACTATTATCGTTGGCATTTACACTTTGGTTATAAAGAAGGTGTTTGTCAGAAAAACTTTGGTGTGTAGTATATGGTAAAGAACCTTCTCTTTGGTGTCCCATATTTGAGCTAGATGTGTTGTGAAAGGCAGAGTAACGAGACAGATGCAACGACCGTCCATCTGGAGGTAAAGATGGCGGCGAAATTTGGTATGACTGCTTCATTTGATATTCCATTGACGTAAAAGGATTTGTGCTATTTACTTCGATAAGATGAGGCACATTATATGAACTTCCATTAGTTAAATTGACTTGAGCTGAATTATAACCTTCTGGTAATTGTCTTTGATGTGCAACATTTGGTCGTCGTACAGACATTAGTGGTGATGCGGTAGGTCTACAACAAAAAAATACATTTATAAACCTAATGATGCAATATTTAAGATAAATGCAATAAAAAAATATGGATGCATCTTCTGAAGCACTTAGTATGGTAGATGCTTAAAAATGAGTAATTTCATAAGAAATAAATTTATGCACTGCAACCACAAAACGACCTACCACAGAAACATAAAATAACAATATAAAGAAGAAAAGCATGTGTACAGGTGGTCCAAAGAGGACACTTTCTTATGGAAACACTATTTTAAGAGATAAAAAAAAATGAACCTATAGGTGTCTGGAGATCAATTTTAAAAACAAAATTACTGGCTCAAACAGAATTCAGCCATCACTAACCGTTGAATTTAGTCAATTTCTTTAATGCCCCATAACTTTCTTATTATCACTCATCGTCCCATTATTAATGATAATTGATTTTGCTAAGATTTTTCATAGAACACTTTTTTTTATAGAATCCATGATTATAAGGCTCTTTGGTGTTCTTGATACAAACTACATTTTTCATACAGATTTTTCATACAAATTTAGGCATAATGAATGGCATGCACCATACATGCGATTGTTCCTCAAAAACCATAAGTGCAAGTAAGAAGTAGGCTGTGAAACCGTAGTGCATGTAACGTAGAATAAACGAACACAACAGAGTAAGTCAATGTAATGTATTAATTTAAACTACTAAATGTTCAAAGTGACCACCATTTTCACGCATACAAAGCATTATACGGCGTAATAAATTAAACTGTACCCTTTGCAACATTGGTACGTTATTTTTTAAAGTTTTAAGTCTTCAAGCAAAACGTAAATTGTTAAAGTTTAAGAAACAACAAACAAACGTTACGCCACTCTAAGGTTTCACAGCCATCTTCTGATTTTTTGAGGAACAATCGCATGTATGGTGCATGCCATTCATCATGCCTAAATTTTTTTTTTTCGTAAACCATCACAGATAGCGATATTCATCAAGAGACAAAAAATTCTTGCAAGTAAACTGTCTATCAGTGTCTAAAAATTCAGAACCGTCAAAATAGTTTTAGACCTCTTCAGATGTGGATGGTCAGTAATTTACCACCTACATAGCAACTACAATCAAAACGATGATATCACAAAGACCCTTTTTACATTAGACATTCACATCCCGAATTTCATTTTAAGGCCGATTCTCACTTTCGTGCAAAGAACCGGCCCGGCAACGGCACGGCACATACTCGGCACGGGCAAAGTTTTTTGAGTTCAATTCACACTGCGACACGCTTGCCGCAGGTAAGCAGTTTCTACGTGAGTTTCAACTGTGGAAATGTTCGAAACTTCCACGTTAATTAAAATAGGTCTAATATTAGATGATGAAGAACAAGAAAGTACATATTGCAGAAAAATAAAAATACGTTTTTGTGTATATAAAATGCATAAAAAGTATCTTTTATGACCGAAATCATTCTCACGGACACATTCAATCAGCATCTCATCTTGTTCCGCTGAAAAAGTGTTCCTTTGCTGACCCTTCAACCTTTCTTGTACTATGAAAACTGAACTAAAGTCGGTGACCTGCACAGATTGTATTCACACTTGTCGGAACGTGCACGGTACATGCCCGGCAAATATTGTTTCAGAAGAACACCGCGTGCAAAGGCCGTAGCTTGCCGAGTCGTTGCTCGCATAGTGTGAATTACACCCCAAAAATTCATAAGATTCAATAATATAGATATTTTGCCGAGTCGATGCCTTGCCTGTGCCGAGTACGTGCCTCGCACGAAAGTGAGAATCGACCTTTAATCGGCAAAACCATTTTCCGATAAAATAAAAATAACAATTATTTTTTTTAATCTTTGGCGGTAGATAGCGCCTTACCGAAGATAGAGGTAAGTTGGGTTAAATCGTCCTATTTTGATACCAAGAACCCCTGGTAGCGCGTTGTACAGACCTTTTAGGGACACCCTGTATAACAAGTGATACATCAACATTTGCGAAATTTTACGGACTGTTCAAAAACTCCAAAATATATACTTAGTGACTATGAAAAAATGAAATTTGGGGTCGTATAAACAACCCAACACCACGTATAAAAACTGTGTATCGGGACGGATTCTTTTTTAAAATAAAAGGTGTTTCCATAAGAAAGTGTCCAAGCTGAACAACCCTGTACATATAATAGGTGTACTTAGCGTTGCTTCACGATTTCATACAACAAACGTAAGCATTATCGTGATTATTCTCGATCCTATGTAAATATTGCAAAACATTTTAAACGATTTAATAAATGCAATACTGCTATTTACAACAAGAAGGAATAGTTGGGTAGATGCTACACTTCCTCACATTGAAGTATGCATTTTTTTTCTTATAATTATCATGATGAAATTGCAGGGTTTTTTCTTGAAGCACGCCACTGAGCACAAATTTAAAGTAGGTACGTACATTGGTAGCAAACTTTTTATAATTTTAGGTAAAGTGGTAACATAAATTGTACCTTGAATACAATGTAATTGACGCCATTCTTAAAAAATTTTTCGCAATGGTGCGAGATCGAAGGGACTTCAAGCGCATTTTTGTGTGACAGATCAGAATCAGTATTCTATTAGCCAGTATTGATTCCACCATCAATAAGACCTTATCGAAGGCTACCACATTCCCTTTATTACCCACCTCCAACGTCCCGTTCACCTGTATTTCGCGTTTTGGTGGATTTCGCTAAAAACGCTCCACAAAATAGTACTCAATTTTTTGGGCACCTCTCATACAAGAAAGAGAAACCGCGATTCGAGCTATAAAGAACTTAGGGCCGCCCAAAGTCGACTACCCCACGAAAACGCGCGCCTTGAGAAAGGTGGTATTTTGCCCCTACGGAAAAAAAACAAAATTCCGTCACACAGGAGTTGTGCGCGTTTATAAGATCTTTCTGACGACACCAATTTGAAAACAATTGGACCAAAGCTGTAGAAGAAGATAAGGATAAAATGAAAAAACACGACACGCTCAGGGATGGGGCCCAGATGTCGCCGACCCCAGATCATATAGCCCCGTCCCTAAAATTATTAATTACACGGCCCGGTAGGTACATGTATACTGGTCGTCTTTCTACAAGCGTTCTTTATGGGCCCACATTTGCTGCCAGCCAGTCAGCCAGCCAAAGTGAGATTAAGAGCTACCTTTTTACAAATAAATTTGCAAAAATGCGCTAAAAACTCTATTTTCTCTTATCACTCTAGTTTGCAATTTGACAATTTAATTATAAGAGGAGTTATGTAGTGTGTTTTAAAATATTATTCTTGTAATCCAATACATTTTTCAGAACTGTCAAGTAGGTAATCGAATACAATAACGTTTAAAAACGTGTTTACACATCCGGTCGATTTCGAGTGCTGTATAAAAGGTTGCATCGGGTCGTTTGCGATAAGAAGGTTTATTGTTAAGACGAAATTTAAATAACGCACGTGTTCTTTCATGTGGAAATGTGGGGACGTTTTGGTGCGTTCCGTTGTGATTGGCGATTTATTTGAAAATTCTTGAAGGAGTTTGTTTTATGGTGGAAGTGGTGTTTCCATAAGCATTGGAGAAAAAAAGAATACGAGGCTGCTAGTTTCGCGACGGATGAGGAGGTGTTACGTCTTTTTACGATAAATTGTCGGCGGCAAAAGTTTCGTCGAGTTGAAAAACAAGCAGTTGTAGTAGAGCGAGACCTTTCTGTAAGGTTGTAAGTTTCTACCGTCTAAAATACAGTGAAGTTCAGAAGCTATGTGTGAGTTAAGTGTTGCCTAGTATCACACACCTCTTAAACGACCAGATTATTTGGATTATTGAGAAAAAAACTGTAATTAAAAATTTTTCATTTTAATTGTCGACCGACTGCGTGCGGGGGAATATGTTCAAACAGGTTTTGTACGCTTTTCTTTCTTTCGTTAATGAACGTTATTAATGAAAATTGTGGAACTAAAATCACTAGGCTACGCCTCGTGAATTTAACGTTACACTCGTTTCATTATGACGTTCATAAACGAACTTGTATCATTAATAACTATAAAAACCCTGTATTTTAGTTTGAATAGAAGTATTTCACGAGTTTTGGCCTTTTATTCTAATCGAACCTTGTAATTGACGTACGACGGATAGTTTTACGTTGATGCACTGATCATATGTAACGCCTATGTCAGTTTTCCCATGAAGTAGAATATTATTTTTGATACATTGATAACCAGTGGTATATTGGCAGCAACATTTTGAACAGTCATAGTTCTCTGTTGTAGTGGCTTGTTGTAAATCTCTATACCGTTGCGCAGCTGTAACGGTTTTAAATTTTCCATCTCCCATTTACATGGGGAAACTGTATTGGGGTCTTTGAATCCATTAGTTACAATGTTAGTTAAATGGGAAAAAATATACCCCTCCAAACGCTTTTATTAAAATTAATTTTTCCTTTATTTGTTTTTGACGTCTGTCACAATGGTAGGGGAGCTAGCTAGAAATCCACTGAACGAGAGTGAACAAAATTTTAACCGATGGAGTTCCACTTTAGCCTATCCGAGTATGCTAAAATCGACCGTCTGCTGCCTCATGTCATATGACTTAAGGAGCTGATGCGGTACTCCTTGCGGTACCAATTTTAAATGGTTGTTTTTTGAGAAAATAAGTTATACACCAAACGAAAACTCTTAAAAAATTTTAAAAAACGCAAATAATTGATAACTCAGTAAAAAAACAATTCTTGGTTCAGTTTTTTCGCGATCTTTCTACGGATATAACTAGGTTACGGTTGGATGAATGAAGCTGATTTTTTTTACAGACTAATGGTAGGTACTGCCAACGACTAGGACAGTGTTTCTTTTTTAAATTTTTTCTCTAATTATAAGTTATATCTTACAATAATAGGATAATCTTATACTTAGAAAAAAAATTTTAAAAAGAAACACTGTTCAGTCATTGGCAAAAAGCACAATTATTATACTTTTACCACTCAAGTGAATGTTACCTTGGTAACATTTGTATCAATGATGAGCTGTTGCCAATTATACTCAACAGGTAGTGGCACATCAAATTACAAGAGAAGATATTAAATTAGTGCAAACGCTGATCAAAACTATAACTAATTAGTCTCTTTTTTTTTTAATATAGGTAAACGTTAAAATAATAAAACAAGCAGTTATGGTTAAGTATACTTACCATTTATATCAGGGTTTTGAACACATTAATCATTTGTATTAAAATTTCAAAATTTGAATAGAACAAAGTAAACCAAAAACAGTAATTGATACAGTTTAAGATGAAAATTGACAATAACACTCACAAATGCAATTGCTATATGACTACTGTAAAATACCTTACTAATGACAGAGATATACAACTAACACTATCCATCTAATGTGCTCATTAACTACTAGCAAAAAACGTTTAAAGTGTCTAATTATTATTATAACACATAATTGCATGCATGGGGTTTAACAAAAAAAAGACAAGTTTATGGGAGAGGCCCTTGATTTACTGAAGGTGTATATTGGTAATTTGAATCCAAATGGTACCAAATGATAGTTTTCCACAACAGTTATATAGTAAAACAACCTAAAATAATATGAGACTACCCTACAGTAACCTAAAGATGAGCCTATGCCACTTGGAACAAAACAGCAAAGAGTGTTCATTTACGGTGGGCAACTTAATGGGTAAAATGAAGCAAAAATTCATAATCTAAAGAGATTTACCCAACTCTTAAGTTACTGAAACCTGAAAAGAAACTAATATTAAAAAATGGAAATAATAAAGGCAAACCAATTGATATGGAACAATAAGCAGTATCGTTTTCATCTTCTGTAAGTATCCATACAAAAGCAAAAAAACAAAAATCTAATACCTAAATATAAATTTTGTGTCTTAGTGTTTGTGGCCGCATTCCTCCAAACGCGTCGAGCATTTTTTATTAAATATTTGGTTTGAGAATAGGCCGTAAAGTATATTTCATACCACTTAGGTGATTATACATTGTGTCCAAGATTAGGATGTCTATCGTGGGGATCTCCGAAACCATAGAACATACAATGATGGTCAAATTAGAGCAAAGATGCACTATTAAAGAGTTATTCTCATGTTTTAAAGAAAACTAGAAAATTCCGATTACTTCCGAAGATATTTCTGAAAAACCAAAATTTTTGATCAACCCTGTATAATTAAAATTATTACTGCTTAGTAGACATTGAAGAGCCCTAAAATTATTGTACACAGCTTTTTATGAAACCTTGTATATTCGGATTCGGATTATCGATTGTTTCCAAACATTGCAGCATTTATTTTCAATACTCAATAACCCCGAAATGAGAGAATTTGGGTCCATTCAGCTTAAAATTGAGAGAAGAAGTGAAATATCGAATACAAGATGTTCCAATAAACAAATACAATTTTGGTGCGCCACACCTTTATGACCAACACTGTATAAATAAAATGATTACTGCTTAGTAGACATTGCAACCCGCAAAACTTTTTTCAATATCTTGTATATTTTCCTCGATAATCAATCGTTTCAAAACTTATCAGCGCCCCTGTATAGCCTACACTAAGCTATTGTATTAACGTGTGAGAAATGAGTGAACGAAAAAGAGATCCGATTTGTAAATATTTTGAGTGCAATTTAAACAAAATTCAACAAATAAAAAGACAGTATTATGTAAAGCATGTGGTAAAACATTGCTAGCTATGGCTAGCTATATACAAAATCATAAAAATATATATAGGAAACAATGTTCCTGAAGAGGCAAATACAATTTTACAAGATACTAGTAGAGCAGGATCCTGCGCAGATGAAGAAGAAATGCCGTTAGCTGCAATAAAAAGAAAAATACAGAAGTAATTCAAAAAAGTGCGAATTAATTCAACAAGGTACACTTTCTTGACTTTTTTTAATAAAATTCATGACTTATTCCAACCCTCACTTGCAGCTTATTTAGCGTGCCGCAAGGCACATTTGTGACACTTTCTGCTGGTGTTCGCTTCTGCTTTAATTTAATCAGTGAAAAATTAAAGTTTAAAGTTGTTGTTTTCTTCATACAAAAGCTGGGACAGCATTATTTATTTGTAAAATTGCAATTAGAAAGTAGCATTACAAATGTTACACTATAATACAACATCAACATGTTCTCTCAGCTAGAGAACGGGAATGCAAGGATGGGTAAAGTTACGGATTAGAATTAAAGGAACGGAGTAAGGATGCTGAGGTGGAAGAGTACCGCTCGAGTATTAACACCTGCAAACCTTATTTTGGACTCCCTATATGTGAGCTATATTAAAAAAAACATCAAGCAAAATTAATAAACAATGAAAAACATTCTCCTTTAGTAAACGTTTAATAAAAAAATTAAAAACCAAAAAAATTGAAACTAACCATGCAACATACCTAGGCAGCGGCGCCTTCTTATTGGTTAACAGATCGGCTTGCTCCAATGCTTTTTTAAACCATTTACCTACATTAACATCTGCAGTTTCGTAATTTCGAATGAATCGTTCGTTCTGCAGTTTATTATATTTAGGCCTCTGCTTTGGATCTTTAGTGAGGCTAAAATGGAAATTATTACCACCTCTCCCAAACTGAACAACCGATAATTTCAATTATTTTGTAACTCAGATGCCAATGACAAAATTGGTGCTTCGATCGTTTGGCACAAAAATTAATTTGACTTGAGTGTGAGCTTTTTTGTCCCCCCCAATAAAAAAATAAACTTGAGCAAATAATTGCTGTGCAATACGATACAATTAATGTTAATTAGATGGTGAATTTATAAAACAGTATTTAAAGCATCTGATCAGGGCGAGAAGAAAGTCACAGAACCAATGAGTTTTGACAAACTGCAAATTTTACAGGACCCAAACCATATAAATTTGTGCAGTAAATCGTAGAAGACTCAATTTTTGTTACTGGCACCTACTTAATTATCAAATGGGTTACAAAAAAATTGGAGTGGTGGCTAACATGCAAACGATTCTTACCATAAACTAACAAACTGTCGAAACTCCGGGCTAAAATCTTGATTTTCAGGTAAAATGGGGGGATCTTGATCTATTACTTTCGTGAGCACTTCAAAATCAGTCTTACAGTCTTGATACGGATACACTCCAGTTGCCAATTCTACTAATGTTATACCTAATGACCATACATCCGCACGAATATCATAATCGGGATTATTAGGATCTGGTTCTATTCTTTCAGGCTGAAAGTAGTAGGTACAATAAGGATGCATATTAAATCATGCAAACGTACAGCCATATACGCAGCACAACCAGCACTTCTGGTTTTGGCCATAGAATCTACGAGACGCCCACTAATTCCGAAATCACACAGTTTAACATTTCCACGTTCATCTAGAAGTATATTAGATGGTTTAACGTCGCGATGAATAACTCCATGTGTCTCTTTTAAATACGACAATGCTTTGACCGTCTGTAACACGTAATGCAATTCATTACGTACAAAGTTTTACCTACAACTTACAGCAACAGTAACTTTTCCAATAACATCTTCAGGAATAGCTTGTTTTAACCTTTTGAGAAGTTTATCGAAGCAAGTTGCCATTAATTCCATGCATATCCATACTTCGGTATCAGTAATAAAGCATCCTAAACAATGAACTATAAATGGACAATCGTGAGACTTTATAACTACTTCTATATCCATTATTATTCTTTTATTCTCCTCGCTATTTCCAGATCGTCGCATTTGCTAAAATTTTTGCATTACAAAAACAAATCCCAGCCACTAGATACATACTTTCACTGCGATAATTTCTTTGCTAGGTAGATGCAGCATTTTTACAACGTGACCGCAAGTCCCGTTTCCTAATTCCTCTATATGTTCCAAATCTTTTATCTCAGTCATATAGGTACGACCTTTTATTTTCAGTTTACCACTAATTTTCATAATTTCTTTGAGTTTCCTATCAGTCTCTAAATTATCGGTACGTTTTGTGGCAAAGTTTAAATCCTGAGGTCGTCTTACAGTGTTTGATAAGTTGCCCACTGGAAAAAATGCAGCTTTTTTATAAATAACTAAAGCTTATAATGAAATTGTTTTGATAAGGTAGTTTTACGTACAGCCTAAATTAGGACCACCAGGACGTCTGCAGACTCCCTTCGCAGGAATATTTTGAAGCGTCGGTATTTGTGGAGATCGTGAATTAGAATTTTCATTTTTTAAGCGTTCTAGCAAATCATTTATTTTACTTTCGGGACTAGACATTTTTGAAGGTGGAACTCAAAATGACAGCCATTTAACCTATAAGTCAAAATTTTTATTTGACATATTTGAAACAATAAATATTGATGCCAACACAAAAGATTTTAATTCCCCGTGGAAACAATAGCAAAAATTATATACACTGTCGCCCGTATTTAACATTTTAGAATTACTTACATACAGACATTTGAATTCCTGAAGAGGTTATAAAGAAAAAATATAGAAAACGGGCATAAAGCATAAATGATACACAATAATCTTTCAACCGGAGGTAAAATAGTGCGCTAACGAGGGAATAATTTGATAGATTATTTGGTTTGTATTGAGGTATTCCATTTCTACAATAGTTTAATATGTAGTGGATTTCTTATTTAAGCTTTATGATGAATTCTGAGGACTGTTAAGTTAGAATATCATGAGGTAACGTCATTCCTCCTTCACACCAGGCGCCTAAATACATGTTTGGATGAGTTTCACTTCATAGGTCATATAGAGATCGAGAATGTAGGGTCCTGATATTTTTAACGTCCTTGGCGCAGAACCTGCCTGCAAAGGTTATTCGGGAAGTAAGCACTGTTTGTGATTGATATATAATTATGAATATTTGAGAAGTAATTTTTTAATTTAGAGTTACAACACGTTTCACAGCGACATATATAAACAAAACTACTGTTTTACATGGCAACTTACTTTATATGACTACAACAATTTTCCTTCTGCTAAATCCAAGGGACCTCTTGGCTGAAGCAGACGCATCTTTGCAATAAATACAGGAAAAAAGTCTTCTTTTGACCCAGAGACTTGTTATAACTAGACTGCGCGTAACGTAGATTTTACTATAAACGCCTGTTGTCAAGATAGGATAGGCAACCAACTGTTCATCGCGGGGCAGACGTACGTTCTGCAGCTTGCTTTAGCCATGTTTATTCTAAATTTTAGTAGCAAAAAAAGATAACATATAGCTGTTAACTGTTTTAATCGAATTTATTGGTATTTTATTTGAACTAAATTGGTATATAACTGCCTTACTCTAGTCCTAATTTGATTTATATGTGTATTTTGGTGGTGAACACGTATGGGAAAATATACTCTTAAAACTAAAGATGTAAGTAGTAAGATATGATTATTTAGCGGATTTTGATTCAATATAATATGCCTATCCAAAAACCCAAATGGGCTGTAGCTGTTATTTATTTTTCTTAGACTGCTGATAACCATTTTGTTTACAACGCGGTGTGGTGTGGATTGAATGAAAAACCTGAACACATTTTCAGCAATTTGGCAAATTTTTAATGCATCACTTGATACGTGCAACAATCCTCCACGATTTTTTCTAGTTAAAAGCTTTGAATGACTCTCTGATGCGAATATCGCATCTGCACATATGGAACATTTAACAGACTTAGCTATTTTTCTTGTAACAAAACCTGAAATATACTTAGTACCAGTAAGAACTTAGTTACGTCTATACCTAATAGGCAAATAGGTATTGCCGTTGTCTTGCTGGTAAAGATGTCTAATAATAGTTCTACGTTATTTTAAGTGAATGGGAAAGTCGAAAACGCTCGGTATTGCATTATTGTTTAACACCTTCGTAGGTACCTTTCTAAAATCGGCTTCATTCCCCGCAAATGCACTATGGTGGGAATAAATTTTTCTCTTCGAATGGCTCTGATCCATTAGCCCTTTAAACTTTTATCCGTTGAAAATCAGCATATTATTTAAAAATTTATCGACAGATTACATGTTGATACGCACAAGTTAACCTAAGTTTATTGGTTTATTCTCAACAGAAATTTATCTGTTCACTAATTCGAGCTAATCACGAGACTGATTAATGAACGGAACATCTAAAATAACAGCTTATTTCATTATATTGCATAAATCATCTCAACGATTTTTGCCCCGCGGTGCATTGTGTGTTGCATACTGTGTCGACAACACCTTAGATACGTTAAGCGCAGTCTAGTTATAGCAAGTCTCTGTTTTGACCACAGACGTCTTATGTCTATCCTATACCTTTTGCCTCACCCTGTAAGTATTGTTTTTTTGGCAGAAACCTGCTTTAAAGATAACCTAAAAATTGTATTTGTTTACATTTAACACTAAAATCAAAATGCAAATTGAAAGATGCAATGAAAGTATTCAAGAAAATTGTAGATTGTGCCAACAAGTTCCAGGAATAATCAATGTAATCCAAAACAAAGAATTTATGGATAAAGTTTTTGGAATCACCAAAGTTAAAGTAATCTACTTGCAATTTATTTAAATTATTTTTAATATGGACCATGTTTAATAGATTAACCATGATCAAATGCAATTCTTTCCAAAATCAGTATGTGCTGCATGCCATTTAAGTGTTGAGCAAATGCATAATTTTATACAACAAATCCAATTAGTCAATAAAAAGCTGCACTCCATCATTCTTCCGTTGCCAGTCAAATCAGCAGAACATAATGCAAATACACAAAATAATGAAACATTTTCAATAAAAAGCAATGATAGTAAATGTCACATATGTGCAAAATTATTTGAAACGGATAGATGTTTGGAAATTCATAAACGAACTCACACTGCACAGTTGAATTGTATAATACAGGATAATAAAAATAATGGAGATAGCGATACTTGTGATTTCATATCAGACAATGAAGGTATGTTTCAATGAAAGTGCTGTTCATGTGCCATTCATATTTATTTTCAGATCACGAAAACGCTCCCACAGAAGATAGTCCTACAGACGGTAAGTATGTACATATATTATTAGCTATAATTATTAGCTGTACATACACTCTGTTTCAAATTAAGTTGGCACTATTGCTAAGTTCTTTGCTGTAGAGTTAGAAAAACAAAAGTGTGTATTTTTTTCTAATGAATCCCAATCTGAAATTAAAAAAACAAAACAACGTTGAAACGATATCAATCTATAAGACTTACAATGGATTTAAATCCAAAGATTTACATCCTTTTTCCTGTAAGAAAATCAAAGTACTTCCTCTGACAGCATCCTGCAGTATGAGATAGTTTGAGTCACGATGTAGGAAGGGGACGACTTTGTGCATACATTCATTATACAGTTAGAACTTAGATCATATACAATTTCGTTTATTTTCAGCAATTCCCACAGAAAATGGCATAAAGGACACCAGTGGAACAAAGTGTAGTAAGTTGATAGTATTTTGTTCAATTTAATATTTACTTATTTTTAGAAAAGACTGAACGTACGTTTCCTTGTACATTTCCAAATTGCACAAAAGTATGCACTTCATTGTATACTGTAAGAACACATTTAATGAAACACGAAGGCCGGACCCCATTTCTTTGCGTAACTTGTGGTAAGATCTGATCATTAATTTGCCCTTCTTACCGATATCTGGTTTCAGGAAAGGGTTTTCGTACAAAAAACTCTTTAAATTGTCACGAAAAAATTCACGCCGAAGTTAAACCTTATGTTTGTGATGAGTGCAATATTCGTTTCTCAGTTTCCAGCAACCTACGAGCTCATCAGAAGAAGCATCATGAAGGTATTAGGTATTATTGCTCTCAGTGCCCGCTAGTGTACATTTCAAAATATAGCCTTGAGAGACATGAACTGGTTCATACTGGTGTAAAGCAGTATAATTGCAGGACGTGTAAATCTGCTTTTTATACGAATAAAGAATTGTTGAAACATGATAGATATCACCAGGTAGCGAGCGTAATTTTAGTAGCTATGCACATATTTGACTTTTCTTTTCAGGGGTTGCGATTGTACAAGTGTGAGCAGTGTTTCAAGGCGTTTTTTGAAAAACACCATCTAACTGTACATATAAGAGGTCACACTGGTGAAAGGCCATATGTGTGTAAGATAGCAGGATGTGGAAAAACATTTACAGAAAGTCAGAAATTAACAAGACATCTAAAAGCGAGACATCCCCTAGTTTGAGTTATAATTTTGTTTTGTATGTTCAATGTAATAGGTTTTAATAAAATGTAACTACATAATGAAGTATCAGTTTGGCAAGACTCATCCATATACTGTCAGAGTACCGTGATGTGTAAAATATCTGTTGTGGCCATTGGCCAAAGCAAACCACAGTAACGAATTTTTATAACCTGGGCAGAGCCGCTTGTCCAGGGGTTGGCTGCCAGCCTTGGAAAGGGATCACCACTCGGAGGGTAATATTATAGATGCTCGGGCTGATTCATTGCGTTTTCCAAAAAAAGTTTGAGAAGGACGTGTCTATTTTGCTACGGATTTGCTGGCCTTGTCTCATTTGGTACATAAAATGGAGTCAAATTATGTCATCATTTGAAGGCAGTTTAAAAATATTCGGGTTCAATTATTGCGAATAATATTCCACAATTTTCTTTGGGAGGAAGATGCGTTTAGTGATTCGTTTCTGTTTTTAATTTGACAGGTCTGATTGTCTAGTCACAATTTATTCCACTTCTCATTGGTGAACATTTTTTTCGGAAGTTCTATACCGATCAAAATATTCTAGCTGAAATTTGACATTTGCATACAAATTTTCAGAAATCTTAATAGTTTTCCAGGTAATAATCGATTCAGCTGTTGTTGGGCACACTGTAACGGGCGATCAAAAATGAGTTGCTGTCGAGTCGCTTCCAAAGGCATTGTATAAAGAAGAGTTGCTATTATTTACTGCCGAATCGGCAACACGGCCTGATTAGATATTAGCGTTTAAGCATATATGTGTCTTTTATACATATATGCGTTTAAGTGACAACGTAGCCTTATCGTTACCTAACCACACAAAACCATGTATTCAATAAATCAAAAATTGTGATTAATAATTGAGATAATTGAGAGAGAGATGACTCGTTACAGACTCATACATACATTTCTAGTGATACCAAAGTTCACTGCTTATTAGAGATTTGGTAACGATCAAAGTAAAAGAAGATGATTCATTTAAGTGCATCGATTTCATCAGTCTTGGGAGAAGCAGGCATTAAAGTTAGGTAAAATGGTTAATTCAAATTGGGTAATTGCTGACAATAGTCCATTGCAGACCAGATGCAGATCCAGGTGTATGGCTCATGTTTCTTCTTCCTACGTCTTTAATTGTATCCGCCCTAAAACATCCTGTGGAATCTTCCTTAACGTTTAAAATGTGCGCCGCATTATCATTAGGCTTAATGGGAACTTCTGTGATATTCATCGTACAATGCACGAAACAGAAATCCTTATCAGTAAGCAGACATTTACAATTAATGCCTGCTGCTGTAACAGCGACAGTCTTTCGTTTCATCTTTAATGCAGGTGCTACTTTCACCGACGAAAAAATGCACACTTATCTTTACTCTTTTTAGGCTTTTTATCCAGTTTTATAAGTGCATTAATTTCGTCTACATGCTATTGGCATACCTTGGTAACGTTACTTCGGAAATTGCCACATAGTTTTACAGTCGGTGAAGTGGCTGTAGTCTCTCAAGCCGTTGTGCTATTTTTCTATGGTGCAGTTCTTAGCTTTTATTCAACAATTTTCCAAACTCCAACAACAGTATCACAGATTTCAACAATAATTGTGCAGGTAAAGCTAAAGTCTCCTCGTTTTTATTCAAATGACGACGAGAATGATGATTAAGCCAGCACCCTGACCAACAAAAAATTCCACGTTTACACAAAATTAGTGATAATTTACTAAGCTGGTCTTTCATCTTCATTTTTAATTTACTGCAATTCTTCATTAGCAATAACTTTTGAATGCTGTAAATAAGTGAATATGTGGGAGTTTTCTGGTAGGGGTGGAGGCAACTTAATAGACATTTTACATGATCCTCATTTTAGGTAGGACTATGTGCTGTTGCAACAGTAATATTGCTAACACACCGATTCAAAGGTTTACGTGAGATCATGTCTTTTTATTTAACAGCAACTTCTGTCCTGTTCATATTTATAGTTGTCATTCTCACCACAATACTACGTCAAAGCCCATTACTGTGGATAATGGAGTTTTTATTATTTGATGATATTGGCAGGGTACACCTATCTTTACTTTCTGTATGTGTTTTTCATTGGAAACTTTTTAGACCAAAATGGTTATGTACATGGTAATATGTACGATTGCAGCTGTTCTAGCAGTAAATTATCAAATAAGTGGAAAGGAAAAGGCCACGCCTGCAATTCGCAAAGTTTTTCATATATTTGCAGTTGCTGTTTATCTTCCGTCTTTGATTTATCAGTGTTCTTTGATATACCTAGCAAGTGGGGTTCTTTTAGGAATATTTGCTATGTTAGAGGTAATTGTAATTGTACAGTAATTTCTGATTAATTAATTTATTAGAATTAGACTATCAGAATATTAAACATTCCGCCTCTGGGAGGACCTTTGCAAAATGGCTTTTTTGCATACAGAGATGAAAAGGATAGCGGTCCTGTTGCACTTACACCCTTGTATCTATTGATCGGATGCTCTATGCCTTTATGGATTCATCCTGCGCCATGTGATGTTGTTGATTCTGCAGGATTCAACCTACTTCCAGTAATGAGTGGTGTTCTTGCTATTGGAATAGGTGATACTGCCGCTAGTGTGGTGGGTACCAAAATGGGAAAACGATTCTGGCCAGGTAATTTCTGAATCTCTATTTTCTGCGTTAACATTGTAAATTGTAGGTACCAAGAAGACAATGGAAGGTACCATTGGATGCATCATTAGTCAATTTATTGTCGTTTATGCGTTAGTGTGTACAGGTACGATTTTTTAAGTTTTTGTCTATTATTACATTGGTATTTCTTTAGGTTTTTTAGATGCAAATAACCATGATCTACTGAAGACTGTTGTTGCAATAATTGTGGGGTCATTAGTTGAAGCTTCAACTAACCAGATTGACAATATTGTATTACCATTAGTATTATTTATAATTCTTTGCTGACTGTACCTGTAAGTTATTATTTATTGTTGAATAAAAAGCAATAGTTTTGTATATTGTACACTATAAATATTGAAGGTATATTTTTTCTTGGTGAAATATGATTACTAATGAAATGTACACGAATTGAAAAACACAACACAGTCTAAGCACATTAGTGAATGGCAAGAAAAGAATGTAATTTTTGTACATCACAGTTTGATGATCTACAAATAATTTGCATTACCAGTTTAATGTAAACAAAGCCAACTTCTGAAGTGGGCACAGTTAGTTCTTGTACGCAATGTGTTTTGTTATTTCCCAATGAAATTAGTTGATTGAGAATTTGTAGTACTGATTGGTTTCATTTATCAAGTACCTATATCTACACAGAACAGTAAAATGTTCTGTGTATATCTATTACAATCAACCCTCTGCGCGAGAGCCTGCCAGCTTGGTCTGGTCTAGTAGGTTAAATGCGTAGGTATGATGGGAAGGCGGGCTTCTGGATCAAAGCTCTCCTTATGGTATTCATTCTTAACACAAAACCATATTGTTTATAAATACAGTTATAGAAATAATAAACCCATAAAGAGCGTTTAAAAAAGCGGCAGAGCAAATCTGTGTGACCCCATGGAGTCATTGGAATTTCAATTGGCTTGTTATATGTCAACATGTGGCATATAGGTCAACTGTGCAAAGTTTGAACTAAATAGGTTCATGCGTTTGGCAGAGACAGAGAGACGTGACCCCAAGGGGTCATTGGATTTGACCCATTTTCAATAGGCTTATTACTTGTGGCATATAGGTAAACTGTGCGAACCAAATTGGTCCAAGCGTTTGACAGTTATCGTGTTCACGGACAAACGGACACCGCATCGACTCCCCTATAAAGCTTGCATCGCTTTACTCGCATATATTGGTTTAGAGATGCAGCATCTTGGGGAGATATTTTTACAAAATTAGCATGTCAAAACTTAAGCAAAGGCGCAAGTTCCACCCGTCTATAGGTACCTGTTTTGGTTTTTAAGAAAAATAGTAAAAACTGCCATGACTCTGGCATATGGCCTCTCCACTTTTATTGAAATTTTTTTACTATCTACAGAGCTAACTAAGTAGTTTTTTTCACTACTAGCGTCTGATGACATGATTATTAACCTTTTTTTCACTTGTAAAGTAGGCTTTCTCGGCATTTGTTCAAAGTGGTTAATAATTTTTTATTATTAACTAGTAGTCAATAATGAGAACTGTCACGCTGTCACTTTTAGAAAACACAACCCGAAATTTCGCTCCATGAACGTTTAGACAAGTTCTTTAAAACGAATAATTGCCACCATTCGCAATTTCCAGAGAAATCACATACCTAAAATTATCACATTTTGAAAAAATTCGAACGAAATTACTCTTTGAAAAATCTCAATGACAGAACAAAATACGGCCTGTTTGACTTGTACTTCAACGTACTTGATTGACATGTTAAATTAATAAACAAAAAATTCTGTCCAACCGTTCACTTTCTTACCAATATAATATGTTAATTTAGAAGACTTCAACTGCTAATAGTGAAAAAATAGTATATATACCACGGTAGAGAAGTCTATTATTACCTTCGCACCTTACACCCCTCGGTGCAAGCGCCTCGAGATGTAATCTTGGTGCTCAGGCAATAATACTGTACTTCCCTACCTTGATATACATATAATCTACTATTAATTACCTATCATAAAGTACATACCTACCTACGTAACTATATAATAATGTAATCACTTACTTAAAGTACATAAATATGCCAAACAATAGCGGAAAGCTTTGTAGTTTATGTAGTCTATATTCAAAGGCGGAAAGAAACGCGATCAACAATGAAACTGCAATGCATCATATAAAAGGTATGTACCTACAAGTACCAAAAAACTTCGCCACTCCGGCATCTAATACATAGAAAATCCAGTATACACTGTGTCATTATTTAAATACAGTATTTAAACAATGACTGTGTCCAAGATAAGGATGTCTATCATGGGGATCACTGAAACCATAGAAGATATGGCGATGGTCACATTAGAAAAAAGACGCAATTAAAGAGTTATTGTCCATAATTAATTTAAAGAAAACCGGGTAATTCTGTCTGATGTTGTTTGAACGGATGCAAATAATTAAAAAAACACTTTCTCATTGCCACTTTTTGAGCTCTACAAGACAGAGTTAAAAGATTTTCAATACAACGTTTCATTTGGGAGAAATCATCAACTTCACTTTTCATATGGTTCATAAAAAAACGTACGTACATAATACATTACGAATATATATAATGACGTACGGCACAGAGCTGCGCAGAATACTTCCAAAAAGTATTTAAAAGATAAATAGTAAATACTTTAGAGTTTAGACAAATCAAAAGTATTTCAATACTAAATATACTTATAACTCCAGCACAAGCATATACTAAATACAGATACCTACTTTGAAAAGTCTTCAAATACTTTAAAAAATAAGTATTCAAATACTTTAGAATGTATTCGAATACTTTCAAAAGTATTCTAATACTATCAAAGGTATGAAAAGTATTTCATGAGATTACTTTGAAAAGTATTCAAATACTTTGTCACTCAAATACTTTACGCAGACGTAAACGTATATCTGTGCGGCAGAAGTAACTCTCTTATTTGTGGACTGATCTTACTAGGTAAGGTTTATTACGCGGCAGAGCAAATCGATGCAAGCTTTATAGGGGAACCGATAGTGTCCGTCTATCCGTCTGTCCGTGAACACGATAACGCTTGGACCGATTCGGTTCAAACTTTACATAGTTGACCTATACTTATGCCATATGTAACAAGCCTATTGAAAATGGATCAAATCCAATGACACCGTAGGGTCACACCGAGGTGCTCTTCCGCTTTTTTAGATGTGCTTTCGGTGTTTATTAATGATTGACAAATTTTACCAGGGAGATTTATCCGAGGCAATGATTTGACCGCGGACTGGAGAGATTGTTAAGATACCAATATATAGGTTGTGCATATAGTTTATCTTAAACGATGCAAGTTTTATAGGTGAGTCGATGGTGTCCGTCTGTCTGTCTGCCAAACGCTTCAGCAAACTCGGTTCAAACTTTGCACATTTGACCTATATACCACATGTCAAATCCAATGACCCCGTGTAGGGGCAGACCAAGGCGATCTGCCGCTTTTTTAGATCTGCTGTAGGGGTTTATTGTAAATTCTAAAATGTTTGAAACTTAGCAGTTTTCTTTATTATACTTATACCTACTCGCAATTATTAACGAAAACTCTTGAAACTTCGCATACTGATGTTGTCGACTCGTTTATATACAAGACCGACCCGACGATATTACCTACTTACAGCAGTTGAGATTGGTGACTGTCTCTTATGGTAACTATCAAAATACAAGATAGCCTCATAGCGAGATTTTCACGCACCTACCTTTGCGAAAACCGGCCACCGATTGAAGCGTTTATTAGGTTTACTTGTGGTCATAATTTAGCAATGTGATGCATTCTGATCATGAAAGCTCATTTAATTTAATCCTAATTCTGTTTTCCTTTAGTATTAACGTACCTATACTGGACTAGCATAACTCATAAGAGTTCGTTACGTATACATTTTTGCGCAAGGGTTGATTTGTATTTGCGTCTATCCGTTCGTCCTCGCTATATAGATCAGTGACAGTGCCTATACAGGGTGTTACACGACCGTTCGAAAAAAAAAATTGGGTTGTAGAGGGCATCAAAACAAGCACTTTTTCCAAATAAACCGAGGGTCCAACGTGTTTCGTTTGGGAGCCACCCCCCAAAGAGTGTTGAAATCTGCATTTCTTCTTTAATTTTTTTCTCACCAACCATAAGAGTTACAAAGTCGGGTGGCATGTCTTTGAATAGGTTTTTGGGTATGCTCTTTCCGATTTTGCAATTTTTTTTTCAAAATTCCTACCCTTAAAGGGCGCACCCCTAAACTAGGGTGCAAAAAAAAATTCTGATTTCGACGAAATTTGGTATCTGGGGGTTTTTTAACATGAAAATCACGAATCTGAAATTAGTTTTTGAAAATTCGAAAAAAAAAGTTCCACTGCAATTCTTGGCGGGACAACGAAAATAGAGATAATGCCACGAAATTTGTTGTGTACATACTAAACGAGTTAAGGAACAAAACTGTCGAACAGTTTTTTAAAATAACTTTTCAAACAAAAGTTATACTCATTTGAATGTTGGTCCTTCGGGTCGCGAAGTGTCCCAAGCCTACTAGTAGGCCATAATTTCGCATGTGTTGGTTGACAATGTCGCAAAAACAAAAGATTAACGGTTTGAGTCGATATTTTGTTATTTGGAATTAATTCGGTCATTAAATGATAAAAAAATTCGATGTATCGATTAAAACACCTACCAAGGTATCTTAAAGCGCTGATCGATTATTTATTATCTAAATAAGGTAGGGGAAAAAGTCAAATCACTTTCCGTATGATACTTTTTCACTATGATCAAAAATTTTCATAATCTTAGGTTGAAAAATAACTTCCAAAAGAACACGCTCCTTTCACATGCGAAATTATGGCTTACTAGTAGGCTTGGGACACTTCGCGACCCGAAGGACCAACATTCAAATGAGTATAAGTTTTGTTTGAAAAGTTATTTTAAAAAACTGTTCGACAGTTTTGTTCCTTAACTCGTTTAGTATGTACACAACAAATTTCGTGGAATTATCTCTATTTTCGTTGTCCCGCCAAGAATTGCAGTGGAACTTTTTTTTTTGAATTTTCAAAAACTAATTTCAGATTCGTGATTTTCATGTTAAAAAACCCCCAGATACCAAATTTCGTCGAAATCAGAATTTTTTTTGCACCCTAGTTTAGGGGTGCGCCCTTTAGGGGTAGGAATTTTGAAAAAAAAATTGCAAAATCGGAAAGAGCATACCCAAAAACCTATTCAAAGACATGCCACCCGCCTTTGTAACTCTTATGGTTGCTGAGAAAAAAATTAAAGAAGAAATGCAGATTTCAACACTCTTTGGGGGGTGGCTCCCAAACGAAACACGTTGGACCCACGGTTTATTTGGAAAAAGTGCTTGTTTTGATGCCCTCTACAACCCGATTTTTTTTTTTCGAACGGTCGTGTAACACCCTGTATAGGTCGTATCGACCTGATGGGACCTTTGCTATGCTATTATCTTTGTATACTCTAGATACCTATGTATCTACGAGTATTAAAAAATGATTTTGCGTCCGTCTCCGTCATTGTTCACGTCCAAAAAAATTGCGAGTTAAATTAGTAATAGAATTAGTTTTATAAAATATTACATTGTTCGCCTTGATTCCAATTTTATTAACAGAATTCTTCTATGTAGGACATATTTTGAATGATCTAATCTGTAATGATGGGGAATTCCTTAAAAGGTCAGTAATAATTGATAACACTATCCAATGATCATTTATAAATACCTAATACGTAGGTTTGTTGTTATAATCAATCTGTATAACCAGTAGTAAATATGAGATTGTTTTTAGTCTTTTTTGTCACTCTTCTTATAGAGGAAAAAGCAGCATTTAAAAACTGTAGCGACATTGATCGTGACAATGCCATTCCTGGTAAGCACATAATTATTATTAAAATAATGTGAATCAAGAATATTCCATTAGACTATTATTGGCGCGAGTACCTTGGTGTCATACCTTCTGATGCTATACCCGGAGGATTTGATAAAGCCAATCAACGTACATACATCGGACAAATGTATCACTCAAGATTTGGGCTGCTCCCATCAACAATATATAAAGGATCGAAGCACTTTTTGGCATCAGGTGGTGGCTCCTCATTTGTCACCGATACATTTGTGAAAGTAAAAAATTTAAGTATGAGATGCCTTTCTAATTGTTAAAATAAAAACTGTTTTAGGTTTTATGCAGCCCTCACCATAACAGATATAAATGGATTCCCACTGAAAACTCTAAAAGTCATCTATTAAGCGATTACCATTTAGTAATTGGAGGTAATGAAGCCGGGTATGTTTTAAATATTGGTAGAGTGAACCATGAATCGGAAATAATTTTGGGCAAGGTCTTCAATCATAACACTCCTCACCGAGGTCTGAGTATACCATACAAGTCTAAGGAAACTATATACCAAAGTTATGAGATTTTAATATATGACTACTGTGCTAATAGTACTGAGCGTGGACGAATCGACGTGAGATTTCTTGAACCCAATGCTGTATAAAGCGAGGATGAAATTAAATTTCAACTATTTATGTTTCGTTTACGCAGTACGTAAAATACTCCTATATGAAAATAAAGAGAACATTTTCAATATTTCATCTATTTACCTTTTTTGTAGATCCCATAAATTCGCGACCAGCTATGATAATAAAGGTGGCGGTAACCTCCGATGCCCTCTCCCATGCACTGTCCTTGCCTGTTCTTTTTTAATCTCAGCTGCATCCATTATAATCTTGAGAAGAAGAGAAAGAAGTTAAAATGTAAGTTGTAAAAAATTGGGTAGTTTACTAAATTAGGGATTTTTGGAAATATACAGTGGCGATGTTTCCCGTGCCGGGAAAGGAGAGTAGTTTATCTGCAGAACTTTCCCTTCCTCTTCTCACACCGGATGGAAACGGTACAAGCCTGTGGAAGAATATTTCTGTTGTCTTGGCGGTCCTATTAGGGAATTATTTCGGACAGCAACTTTAGCGGTTAAAAAAATCTATCTACACCTGATCGACCGAGGCGATCGAAAGCGATTTTTTAACCGAAGCCATGGGAAAATACTTCCTATCTCTTTTAGCGCAGTAATTACGTTTTATTTGTTGAGAAGTGCGGTTAAGAAGAAATCGAAATGGGCTTGAGGGGAACACGGTAATAATTAGAGGAGAACTTTAGAAAAACTTAAAAATGATAAGAAGCCTTGACAAACTTGACAACACATTTCAGAACTTTGAGGTAGATTCTGGGAACAAGACTACATTATTGCCTATATGAGCTTTCTAAAAACTTTTAAACATAAATTTACAAAATACTAAAGTTAGATTTCCCTCATACACAGACGGAATCATCACCAATATGGAGTAACCGAAGTAAAACTAGGTAGGTATATTAATAAAATTAAACCCAACTCCCAATATGATTGTGGCTTGTGATTCTTCACCAACAGGCATCCTTTTTCACATTTAGATTTTGTGGAAAAGCCTGCATTCACATATGAACATAGTATTATTATATTATTGTATGATTATAGACAATCGTGAATTAACTCACAATTTCAATGAAAATTCAAAACTTCCAGCTATGACTTCGTCCTAATTTTTTATATCAATCCATATTATTTAAGTAATTGACGAAAAAAAAGTCCCTAGGAATCATTTCATCAATCGCACCATTTTCGATCTCTGACGCCTGGACTATAGACGAAGGTAAGAAAGATAGTAATTTGATGTTACTTATTCCATGCGAAATAGCAGGGGTATAACACGGCATTTAGAAAACACAAAGTGCCTTAATAGCATGTCTTAGCTTGTTTGGAACACGCACTTACATCGGTCCTTGTGGACCCAACATGCCGGACACTTTGGGGGTGTACAGAATTCCACTCTGCCACTCACACGCAATATTGGAGGGCCAGCCTGAGCTTGCTATTTTGAGATAGGTGGTGTATAAAATATTCGCAAATGGAACTGTTTCCCCATCTTTATGTAAAGAACATGAATCAACTAACAGTCAGAAAGCAAGATTTATGATGCCCGCGTGACATTTGCTTAATAAAGTATATCACAAAGACTTCCACAAAAAACATGGAGATGGAAAAAGTGAGATAAGATCCAATGTAGATACACCGACATGAAGTATTTAGTCTAGTAGAGTCTTCCAAAGCTGCACTATACCAAAGAGTATACAACGAAACTATACTAAGCATTCCATATTCAGATCAGCATTATAGCAATGAGGCTACTGCTGTTGTTAGTTACGTTACTGCAAGCAATACAAGTAAGTAATTATATCAATTATTCATAAATCTAAGTGACGCATGACGTAAAACTGATGATAACAGAGAGCGATCACATTATTTACATGACACAACACATGCGTGATAAGTTAATTTTAGACAGGATGCTTTTTTTGAATTAAATTGGAAGTAAAAGGTAGTCTTTAGATATCTACTTATTCGCTAAATTATAGTAGCAACCGTAGTTTACTGCGAATTGATCCAGACGGACCGGAATTGAGGTGGTTTTCTCAGATTGGCACAACTGTTCTGTACCTACTACTACTACGAAATAATTTCATGATAGACCCAACATAGACAACGTCTGTCGGTGTACCTTCTCATGTGTGATTTAATGTTAAGTGTTTATTCCCATATCTACCTACAACACATCAAACATGTTAAAGCTTAGCAAAGCACTGGAAAGCTGTTGGAAAAGGATAGACGCTACAAGTAAAATGCCAATCAATAACAAAACCAAAACGTCTGAAATTGACCTTCCTCAACTGCAGTCCTCCGTGCTTATTTTTGCGCCCTAGTAGGTACCTATTTGTATTTCGTTCTTTGCTTTGTCTACAGCTTTGAATATACTGTGATTCGTTACCACAATTTTAATTCTAATCACTTTTGTCCTAAAAGTGGCCAATTTTACTTTGATTCGTGATTTAATTCTATATTTGGTACTTAAAATAAATCCAAAATTTGCAAAAGGAATTGTAATTCTGAATTGTAAACCACAAGAAAGGCTTAGTGTACATCTCACGACGGAATTTTGAAGGTTTATTAATTCCTTGCAGAGATGCTACAAGAGAAAACACTACCACTGCAAATTGCAGTCCATAATTAATTTTAGCACTTGCTGAATGCTATGATGGTTACTCTTTGCTATGAAGAAACAGTGGGTATATAAATTTGGATAGGATTCTAACTTTTCTGCTCCTATTAGGGATCTAACGTTCCATGTTTCTATTCTTAGTTTCCTTTTTGCACTTTTTGTAGGGTTCCTCAAATACTGTCTCCTCCGGAGATCCGAATGGGTTTTTACAACCCGTTGTTATGTAAGTACCTATATATTGTAACGGAAATGCTCCAGACATGACGTCGCCTTTGGCGCTCTGGAATTTTCTACGCGCGCGAATATTCGACAATGTACTGGACTTACATTGCTTGCGTGTATAAATGGTTGCGGACCGAACATCGCGGCAGTCTACTACCGAACGAGTACGTAAACATCGAGCGCGGAAATATAAATTGCGAAGTGTGAGTGATATAAATAATCGATATAAATTGTGCGGATTTTATAGTGTTTTAGTTCTGTTTAATAAATATTGATATAAATCGAACCCGAATTTATAAATAACGTTACATTGGTGTCAGAAGTGGAATTAATTAAATTAATTAAAAGTAAGATTAAATTAAGTGCTTGTGCTTGTGTATGCCTGTAACAAGATCTGCTGCCGCTAAAATGGAAGAAACGATGCTCAATTTGCTCTAGCAAATCCAAAATGGCCAACAGGTGTTGCAACAAGAAATGAAAAGCAACCAAGAGAAGTTCGAGAAGATGGAAGAAAATTCTAGAAAGATTAATGAAGAAAATTCTAGAAATATTCAAGAGAAGTTCGAGAAGATTGAGGAAAATTCTAGAAAAATGGACGAGAAGTTCGAAAAGGTGGAGGAAAATTCTAGAAAGATTATCGAAGAAGTCTCTAAATCAATTGAAGAAAAAGTTGAAGATAGAATTACGGAAGTTTCCAAAACATTTAAAGCAACATTCCTTGAGATTGAGCACAAGTATGAAGCTGCGCGAGCAATTCTTGCGACTGACTACGGAAGAGCGTACTAGTAGTGCCCCAGATGAAGTACTGATGGACCGTCTTCTTGAGGTGCCACAGTCTACTCATTATAAGAAGGTCGACCCAGAAACAAATACAAGAGTAGAAGGCGACGTTCAGCAAGCCCGAGTAAAGCCACCTACTTTTGATGGTAAGATTCCTTGGACCACGTACGTTCGACAGTTTGAGGCAGCGGCTGCGGCAAATAAATGGACTCTTCAAGACAAAACTACCGCCCTGATTCTTGCTCTGAGAGGAGATGCTCTGGATGTGTTGCGGACCATCCCCGAGGATCAACAGAACTTCCAACAAATAGTAGCGCGACTCGAAATGCGATATGGCGATAAACACCTTCAGCAAGTTTACTATGCCCAAGTCAAGAACTGAATGCAGAAACCTGGAGGAAGTTTGCAGGAACTTGAAGCGGACATCGCTAGACTGATTCGATTGGCATACCCTACGGCACCGGAGAGCTTTCTTGATCAACTGGCTGTACAAACATTTATCGATGCTGTTCGTGATGGAGATGCCCAGCAGGCTTTGAGACTGGCTAGGCACGACAAAATTGAGAAAGCTTTGGCCCATGCGTTAGAATTCGAAGCCGCCAAGAAAGCTAGTCATGGAAGTGCGCGAGTACGTATGGTGGAACCTCGCAGTGACAGCCGGGTAAGGACAATCGAAGAGGAAGGTGGCTCTGGAAGTTTTGAAGAAAAGGTCAGTAAAGTAGTGGAAGAAAAGATCAATAAAGCAATACAGTCACTGGCAAAGAAACGTGAACCACGGCGAGATTGGACACGTTCGCCGCAACTGCCAAAAACCATTGCAGCAGTCGGAAAACTAGGAAAGGTCGACAGGAAGGGGCTATCGTCGACCTGCAGAAACAAAGCCCCGATCTTCACTGAAAACATTTCGTCGTCTGGAAAAGTTCACAATAATGCAGATGCTTTGTCAAGAAGACCGTGCAAGGACAACTGCACACATTGTTCTAAAATAGAAGACAAGATTGGCCATCTGCGACGAACAACTGTAGAGAGTGAGGAGTGGAAGCCAAGCGAAATCAAAACGGCCCAAGAAAACGACACAAGTATAAAAACTGTTCTGAATTGGATGCGCCACGGACAAAGACCAGACTGGCAAGACATTAGTGCCACAAGTCCTGAAGTAAAGAGTTATTGGGCCAATGGAATAGCCTGACTCTGAAAGACAACCTGTTGTATAGGACCCTTGAAAGTGAAGATGGCACCGAATCGACGCTGCAATTAGTAGTACCTAGAAACAAAGTGTCGGAAGTATTGCGAAAATTGCATGACGGCGCTTCCGGAGGACACTTTGGTATTACGAAAACGTTGCAAAGGGTACGTGAGCGATTCTATTGGGTCAACCGTAAAGAAGATGTCCGGCGATGGTGTCAAAAATGTGAGTTATGTGCTACTGGAAACGGAACAGTTTCCAAGAAGAAGGCACCCATGAGGCAGTATAACGTTGGTAGTCCGATGGAACGA